TAAATCTATTATAAGGAAACACAAGTTGATGAAAATAATAAGAACCGATCAATGTTAGACCACCATTAGAAACCTGAAAGCACTGAAAGATGACCGTTTCGTCTGACTTCAGGACTCATTATCAGTGCACATCAACGACTCCTGCAACTCGCACGATTCGAACCCAGGACCCTCAGTTTTGCACGCGAACGCCTAACTTCTCCACCACTGGACAGTTAGTTATCTAACGGTGTTAATGTCTAGCTTCTATCAATCCACGGTCTTGTGCAACCTCATACACTGTTCTCGGCAGTCATTGTCTACACTTGAACATATATACATTTATATATATGAAACGTGTTGGCACTGTTTCTCAATTTATGAGTTGTTATTATTGAGCTCAATTCAACTGGAAGCAATATACTGTGGTGTGTGCTACTTATACGAACGATATAAGTAGTATAAGTAGGGACGTGAAAGAAGAAGTCTCACGGTCAGAAGAGGAAAACGGAAAGCAAATGGAGCAAAAGCAAGAAGTAAATGGAGTACCAACAGGAAGGAAAGGAAGCAACAACAGGAATGGAAGAAGGATGGAGTGTTGGAAGTCACGACTCAAAGAGATGGTGTGCAAATAGAGTGTTCAATGTAATGTTTTCGTTTTTAATTGGCTAAGAGTATAAATTCTCATACTCCAATCTTCCTCGCCTGCCTCAGTCTTCTCAATACAATTTATTACCTATTTTATTCATGTAAGACAAACTCTTCAATACTTATCACTCATAGTCAACAATACAACACTAAACTTTAACTTCACATTAATAAATTTTTATCATTAATGATAAAATCTAATCAAGAAATAAGTTTTGATTTTTTTTATTTCTCTTACTCTTTTCTTTCTGCATATCTAATAATAACAGCAGAATTTTACATTCTTAGATATATTTATATTTGATTCAGTATTCAATTATATCAGTATTTCCAGTGGTGATCCAAAAAGTATCTTACTTGGTCTTCTAATGATCAAGGTGTGTTTTTTATTTAATAAAAAAGTTATATAATAGATTGAATTTCTAATGAGTTTACATTATTAAATAATAATTTTCTTTATTTGAGTCACGTTTACAATCAAGAAGATGGCAATGAATAATTATATCATGTTTAATTTTTTGAATACCTTAATGATGTTCATCAATTAGCTTTGCTTGCTTGTGGTGCGAATGGCTTAAATTAGAAATACACTTGAGTGGATGATTTCAACTTAATAGTTTGGAAGTTAAGCATTTTTCTTATGTTATAAAATGTTTGAAGTTGATCTCTTTGGGGGGTTTAATGTCGAATAGTTTTATGTTAAGACAAGAAATGCATTAGTGTGCGTAGTTGTGTGTATATGAACGGTAGGTTGTTGGGGACTTTAGATCCCTTGAACTCACTTGATAAAGGTCCTCATTTTGGATTTTGTGTTTTCGTCCAAGGGCTGATCAGTTGACCTTCAGATTAAATTTCCCACCCGGAAAATACTTGACCATCATTGGTTGATGCGTTATTTTAGTACGCTATTTTTGTGGTTGTTCCAAGGACGTTTCTATCATGTATAAACAAATGTGATTTGTGTGCTTTTCAACCTGATATTTTCTGGGTGCTTGTAGAATACACTTTCTACGTTTTATCAAGACTTCTTCCTCTACTTAGTGGGGCTTTGAGACGCTCGAATTAGAAAAGTCTATCGTGTTACTCGATCATTTGTCTTCACTCTCATTTACAGACTAAGATGAACTCGTAATAGTTTCAAGCATATCAACTGACAATCATAGCGTAGGCACCAGTTTACGTAATAATAGTCTTCACCACTACACAGTGTTCATAACCTTGGGATTAAGTAATATCATGCACAGTTATCTCCTAAAGAATGATTTGTAAATTTATGAAAAATTGAACAGTTTAGGTGTAAAACATTCACACTACTTAGAAAAGTGAAACACGCAACCACATCAAGCTGAATTGAACACAGGACATTTAATTAGCAATTAAGACTGACTTTTGTACTTTTACAAATACAATCAGCAATGAATATAATCATATCGTGTTTAATTTTTTGAATACCTTAATGATGTTCATCAATAAGCTTTGCTTGCATGTGGTGCGAATGACTGAAATTAGAAATGCAGTTGATTGGATGATTTCAACTTGATAGTTTGGAAGTTAGGCATTTTTCTTATGTTACCAAATGTTTGAAGTTGATCTCTTTGGAGGGTTTAATGTCGAATAGTTTTATAAGTAAGACAAGAAATGCATCAGTATGCGTAGTTGTGTGTTGCGGATGTTAATAAAGGTCATAATTTTGGATTTTATGCTTTCGTGCAGCAGCTGATCATTTGACCTTGAGATCATATTTCCCATCAGGAAAAGCCTTGACTGTTATTGGCTGATGTGTTATTTTAGTACGCTATTCTTGTGACTCTCTCAAGGACGTTCCTATCTTGTATAAATAAATTCGACCTGTGTGTTTATGAACTCCATATTTCTGGGTGCTTGTAGAATACACTTTCTACGCCATGTTAAGACTTGTTCCTCTATTTAATGGGGCCTTGGTACGCTCGGATTAGAGTTGCCTATCGTGTTACTGAATCATTTGTCTTCTCTCGTTTACCGACTAAGGTGAACTCATTATAGTTCACTGCACAGTGTTCACAACCTTGAAATTAAGTAATATCAGGAACAGTTATCACCTGAAGAATGATTTGTAAATTTATGAAAAATTGAACAGTTTAGGTGTAAAACATTCACACTACTTAAAACAGTGACACACACAACCACATCAGACTGAATTGAACTCAGGACATTTGATTAGCAATTAAGATTGACTGTTGTACTTTTACAAATACAATCAGTTCACGATAATATCATAGCAAATGATCAATATCATCGGTAGATTGTTGTTTTAATCTCAACAAAGATGAACTCTACTTGTCAAGACTTTTTTTTACTGAAAGTCGAGAATTCATGTAGAAGTTATTCACTTGGTGAGCTTCAAGATTATCATTATTCGATTGAAATATTTATAAGAGGGTTGTTAGTGGGACATGGACGGATTAGAGCATGACTGCGTTAGCTGCGCGCTGATTGGCTAATATCTTATCCAATCGGCGCCTGGCCCATACTTAGAGAACAGACTGGAAAATTCTCGTGTTTTTACCTGCATGCTGATTGGTTAAATCTAATCCGGTCAGTGCTAGTCAATCACTTAAATTCCATTCCAGAAGCGTCTCATGTAAAATCCATACGGACATTAATGTTGTATCTATTTTGCCTTCGCCATCACCTTCGGCTTCTTATTTCCATTTAATCTTGCTATTTGGAATAAAAATCTTTTCCTGTTTCAATCGTGTGTTTGATTCTTTGAAACTTGTTTAGTGTATTATGGTCAGAGAATACTAAGCAATAGGAATTAGCTGGGAATTATTTGACAGGGGTGGTTATTTAAATCTATTAATAATTTTCGTCAATTTTGAGTTTAGTTTTATTTTATATTATGTTTTTTTTTTTCAGTTCAATTGTTGTGGATCCACAAGTGTACTTGATTTTGTTATGGCAGATAAAATAGAATTGACAGATGTTTGGGATGGTGTAATACGTAAGTTGTGGAGTTTTAACAGTTTAATCTATTGTCGTTATTATTATCATTATTTAAATGTAGTTCGACTTAATTATTTATCAATCTGTAAATCATTATACTGTAGGAGTAGGTTGGAAGAAAGTTAGGGGTGGCCCAACCAAAACGTAGCACACATTCATGAAGTCATTGACAACAAGTGGACTGTGTCATGTCGGTAGACGTAGGCTACCTGGTTGGGGTCCCCGATACGAAATTCAACAATTGTTAGAGACGTTGGATGATATGGCTCAAAATCGTTTGCAATGGCGCAGGTGCATCCACTCTTTGAGTTCTCTCAAATCCTAACTTTCTGAATTCCTCATCATTTCTACCTTTCACTGAATTATACTTCTTGAATATTATCTTCAAATCCTAATCTTCTCCATTAGCAGTAATTCTTCTACTATCTCTACCACTATTGGATTTGAATTGACAATTGCTTCTCTGTGCTAATGTGGTATGGCAACATGAACTGATGTACTTACGTACAAAGTTCTATGTTGTAACTGACTGACTGTAAATCATCATCCATTCTGAGTATTTACTATTTTTCATTCAGATTTTTTATAAAAATATTATTTCCATTTAAGTGATTTTCTTGTACAAATTAATTGTACTCTCATTGTGATAATACTAGTTGTCATTAAGTAGTAGTAGTTTAGTGAAGGAGAACACAGGTGAGGACAACCGAATTGCATTTAACGAAAATACAAAGTTACTCAGTAAAATTGGAAAACCATATCGTAAATCGTTAATTTACAAAATATCAGTTCATCATCATATCGAACTTGACTGTTTCTGTTGCAAAACATCAATCAATTGTCACTCTTATTCATGCGTTTCATACAAATTCCATTGTGTTCTAACCTTAACTTTCTTGATCTTCCCCATCTTCTGCCTGCCAGACATTGCGTTGACACTCACGTCATATACTACTTATAAGTAGCTCACACCACAGTAGTAGTAGTATATCAGTTTTATTTGTCACAGTATTACATCGTTAATATGATTATCAATTTCAAATCTTTTCATAGATATGGTTCTATGGAGTGATTAGTGAATTTAGAAATAATGATGCTATTTGTTTGAATTTGATCATTATTATTATTTAAACGAATGAATTCTCATCAACATTCATTACAAGTAGTGAATTTGTTAACAAAAAGAAAGACCATATAAACAAACGTTTAGTCTGTTTTTGGTTTAAGAAAAAAAGACATTATCATAAATTGAAACACTTGTTTTGCGTACTAAAAGAGTAAAACATGATTAAGAAATTACCTTACATATAATCTATATAGCACTGTTAAGATGTTCATCCAATATCCTAAGTGAAGTCTAATTCTACTGGTTCATTCCTATTGGTGGTCCTAACTATCAATGTCACATATGTCAATGTTCGACCTAACTGTATAAATATACATTATCTGTGACGTTTTATGATCCGGATTCCTAGTCTGGGATCTTTATCTTCTTCTGGATTCGGACCTCGTACTTTCTGGATGCTTGTGGAATACACGTTCTATTTCATTTCAAGACTTCTTCTTTTACTCAATGAGGGTTTGTGACACCCGGGATTAGAGTAGTCTGTTGTGTCGCCAGATCATCAATCCTCGCTCTCGTTTTCCGACTAAGGAAAACTCGTAGTAATTCAAGCATATCAATTGACTTGGTCACGTGCGTACGTAACAGGCGCGAAATGAATTCTGATCAATATTCAATCACCGAATACAAATATTTATTCCTTCTAGTGCATTACAACACATATCTATAGTTTTCTGTTTATAGCGGGTAGATATAATATAACAACATTTGATATTATATACTCATCCCCCCACTGAGACCTTGTTTTCAATCATGTAAGAAGGTTTATATATTTTTCAGTTGTGCTAGTAACTTTGAACGTGAGAGGCTACAAATGACTATGATATTCTTATGTTACACCTTAGTCAGTGAGTAATGAACAATAAGAGAATTTATGGCACAGAAATTCATTTAACAGAGTACAAAATAATTTCTATTTATGAATACTTTTTCCATATGATCAAATTCAATGAACTAACACGAGTGTATGCTAATTAAATCAAACAATTTGAGAGTTTTAATCTATCTATATATCCTAATCAACTGAAAGGATATCTATTACTCAATACACACCAGTAGTACTATATTGTTTTTTAAAAAAAATTTACTCTCTGAACAATTAATAATGGTTTCTTTTAAAAAAAAATTATTTCCCATTCATCTATCTACACTTGCAGCATGGAGTATGTCCATTTTCATTTTTCGACTGTATCACAGTCTAATCGATGAGTCTAAACGTGTTAAGCATTTGTAACCCTAGTCAATACCCAAAAAACGGAAATTAATCATTCTTTTTAATATTACTAATTCAAATTTGTCAAGTGTGATGATCAAACTTCGTCTGATCAATAAGATTTGATCAGCTAAACCAATCAGCGCTTAGTATGAAAGCTGATCGTTTATTGGCTAGAATAATATATATATATATATATATATATATATCACCAAACGACGATTTTTATTTCAATTGTCCTGCTAAACAATTTGAAACATTTTAACAATTAACAGGAGTATTGAATTGGGATCACGTGAATTTATTCTGTCTTCTTATTCTTCTTCTTCTTCTTATTATTATTATTTATTATATATAAACTAGATAGAAGATTGTTATTTCCAATACCATGTTGTAAATTTAATGAGAAATTTGAAATGTTAGATGTACGTTGTCCACATGAAAACACTAATAATATCGAAATTGGATGTTATGATCTGTTACATGAATTCGTTAAATATTGTGCTGATAGATTAGCATTTGTATCATGGAATTTTTTTTATCAATTGAAGTAAGTAAGTGTTTGTGTTTCACAACAAGTACTGTTTGGTTCATTTGGATAAGAAGTATACAAAATATTGATTTTATGATTGGTTTGTTTTTTTTGTACACATTTGAATTAATCATTGTTAGACCACCAGCATTAGAAACCTGGAAGCACTGAATGATGGGTGTTTCATTTGAGTTCAAGACTCATCAACAGTGTGGATCCATGACTTCTGAACCTCACAGGATTCGAACCCGGGACCTTCGGTCTTGCACATGAACGCCTAACCTGTTTTAATTTAAAAATCCCACTTGATTGACTTGACTCTTTCATAAAATGGAAAAGTATGTATGGTATGTTTGTACTGGTTCTTTATTTGACTAACTGACTGACTGGAATAGTAAAATCAGGTTGTTTGAACATTAAAAACGCGGTCTAATTGATTCATTGATGAAACACGTTGTTGTGTGTGTAAGAATAATGAATGAAACAGGCCTTAATGACAAAGATTAAAAATAAGAGAATTTAGGGTCACTTTGTCGAATGAATTTGATAATGACACTAAATAATGTTTATTGTAATGCTAATCATTAGAAATTAGAAGTTTCATTGTAACACAAATGTTGATGATTAACCAATATTATTTCAGTTAACAGTCAAAATCTAGTAAAATCAATCTGATCATTCAGGAAACTATCCAAATTCACGACGACCCACGAGTAGTAGTATCTCGGACTGATGACCAGATTGATCTAAGGTGTATATTTCTAAAGACTCCAATACTACAGAGTCAATTTTTTTGATAGTGGATATTTGGGCAGTAAGCGACCGATTTCCATTAATTCCTAATCGTTGCCTTTAATAACTTAACAGACTAAACGATTGGATTACTTAGAGCCTGTAACTCAATAAGTCAAATCTACCTGGCTGTTAACATTTGAGTTTACTGGCAAATATTACAACAAGTCATATAACTGATAGAATTTATTAATCATTGAGCGCATGACGACATTCAAAACACAAAATCATTATTTTGAAAACTTTGGGGATGTTGGGGATGTTAGATCCCCTAGAACGCGCTTGATAAATGCCTTATTTTGGTTTTCACGTTTGCCAATAATGGGTTGATCAATTGACCTTGAGATTTCATTTCCCACCAGGAAAATCCATGGCTGTGATTGGCTGCTGTGTATTTTAGTGTGCTATTTTCGTAACTGTCTCAAGGACGTTTCTATGATGTATAAATAAACGAGAGTTGTGTGCTTGATTGTATTGTGATTGCTGGGTGTTTGTAGAATATACTTTCTACTCTTACAAAGCCTTTTTACTTCAGCCTGGGGATTCAAGGTAGCCTACCTGGACTCTGGTAAAAGTCTCTTTCGACTAAGGTGAACTCGTAATAGCTTCAAGCGTACCTAGTGAAGAACCCTACAGTAGCGTAACACGAATTGATACGTTTAGTTTTGTTAAACTTTATGAAAGGAGATTTTTACACAAATACTTTCAGTTCATTCCTGATTGTATTTTTATGAATCAATGACATTAAAATCCCTGATCAATATGTAACTCCGCACTGTTTAATCGTTTCGAATCTAGTCGGTCAAGAGAAAAGCAGTTTAACCAGATGTAATTTTCAAATTAATGAACAGTTTTCTATTTCAAAGTTTTTTTGAAAAAAACGAAGCAGCAACTGGTGGTTGTTTTGCATAGTTTGGAACTCTTTTCAACAGTGAATATTCAACATAGAATTCTACATGGATTTAAAATTACTAATCTTTGTCAGAACACTATAAAATAGTCTTGATGTAAAACTTCATTTAGTTTGTAATACATGTGTAACATTTATAGTCTTCAATAGGGTAACTCACCCTCTAGGGATATGATTAGTTTTATAGTATAAGACTGTTCAACTCATTTTCCTAAAAAATCTATATCAGTTATTAGTGTACCTACCCTCTGTATTTGATTAGTATGTTTATGAAGAAACTTGTAATTTTAGTATGATCTGAAGGATTTGTTGACTGAAGTTAATAATAATAATAATGAGTGATAAGAATGTTGGGCGCTGAAATAATGCGTGACAGTATAAAAGAAAAATAATATTTGTTAGTTTCAGTGATTGAACTTTAAGGAAATCCAACGTTTCGCTCAGCGAACATCAAAATTATCGAGTATAATTAATTACATAGTTCACCGGTTTTCTGTAAGCTGGACAAGTGATCCAATCACGCTAACAATGTAAAAATTGAGATTTATTGTAACGTGTATGATACACTTGGTATGAAAAGTGTGTTCAGATAACACATGTATCAATGTGTAAGTGAATCTGATGTTAGAAAAATAGGATTTTTTTTGACGAAATTAGATAATTTTATCAACGATGTATTCAGCATGTCACAGGTGCAGATCCCACTGATTCTATGGGCTATCAAAAATCAATAAAGTGGATATATCTCACTAAGACTAGTGGTTGGTTTGTTGAGTCTGCTTCTAGAATGATTATTACATAACACAAACTTTGGCATAAGAACTAATAGGACCGCCCCTCCCCAGGTTGTAAATCAGAAGTCACAAGAAATCTTTACTGCAGTAAGTGTCAAAATATACAGGGAAAACAAATGTATTTATAATGCTGTTATATAATCATTCACTTACGGTGTGACACATTGACATTCTAGAAATTCTGTCGAGCCATGATAAGATGGAAGCTCTTCAGCTTTTTGACAGAGCTTCTAGTGGTTCTCAAGGAGCCATCCTTACAGATTATATGAATTTTAAATACCCAGCCAAGATAATCAAACTATATAAAAAAGAGAATGAAAGTCAGGAATTCTAAAGAATTCAAAGACAGCATCACTACTATCCATATGGAAAAAAATGAATTCATGGCAAGCTTTTATGACTTCTCTTTCTCTTCACTAATGTATTTATTAAAACCAGTGAATTTTTAATAGTAAACTTGAGCAATGATATTTAATAGGTTCCTGAGATATGATAAAAGCCCTGGATCTGTGCTGACATTCTGCTATATTTAGCTTACGAGAAGAATTTGATAGACAGAGAGAGATGAGGCTGTGGGAGCTTTAAGGCCAGAGGTTTCTTTAACTGTTACTTACTTATTTATTCAATCGCATAGTGTCTCCATCCACCAAAGGTTTGGTTAAGGTACGTAAATGACACATATGTCATTACGAAACGGAATGGACTGGACAAACTTTTTAAAAGTATCAACAGGTATCTGAGAAAATCGAATTCGCTGATCAAAAATTACATTTCTCTGAACTGTTTAATTAAAAAATAAGTTATGATTATTAAAAAAAGAAAAACCTAATAAATTCTTAAAGCAAACATATTTGGACAATATTTCGACTATTAAGTCAGTGTATATTCTCATTCCATCAAAGTGACAATTGTTAAGATTTAGTTAAATACGGAGTTTAAAAACTTATCATAGAACCAAGAGTAACATGGAAACTGAAATTATTCTAATTAAGATAAATGATTATCTTAAGGAATTATTTATGAAAACGATTAATTAAGAAGGATGTTCAATAGGATAAGGAAAAATGTCAGTAAAAAAGAATAGACAGACAGATACAACGCATAACTTCGTACAAAAGTACATCAGTTCAGGTTGCCATACAACGTCAACACAGAAACGTAACTGTTAGTTCAAATCGAAGTGATAGCGATAGTAGAATTATTAGCAGCAATGGGAAAGATTAGGGAGCGAAGATATGATTCGAGAAGTGTATAATTCAGTAAGATAAATTTAGAAGGAGAAAGGTAGAGATTATGAGGAATGCAGAAGCTTAGAATTTCATAGAACACAAAGAGTGGATGCACCTGCTCCATTGCAAACGATTTTGACCCATGTCATTCAAGGTCTCTAACCATTGGTGACTATCGCCTCGCTGACCCAAACCAGGTCTTCGACACCTACCTACATGACTCAGTCCACTTGTCAGTGACTTCATGGATTTCTGCCATGTTTTGGTCTGGCCGCCCCTAGCTTTCTTCCAACCTACTCCTACACCACAAAACATAGCTCGTCGCGGCAGTCGGTGATTAGGCATACGTAACACATGTCCCAACCACCTCAACTGATGAAGTTTCAATGCTTCATCTATTGATTTGCCATCCTTACCTAGAACTCGTTTCCTAACGACAGCATTGCTTACTCGGTCGTCCCAGGATACACGAGCAATGCTTCAGAAACACCCATGATCAAAGAATAGTAACCTACGAATGTCTTCTACTCTTAATGGCCATGTTTCGCATCCGTATAGTAGAACAGAACGAACTGCTGTGCAGTACACTCGTCCTTTAGGCAGCAGACGGATATCACGCCTACGTCACGAGTGACGCAAGTTGGAAGAAACCAATCCAGCCTTCTGTATTCATGCCGAGATTTTATCAAACGGCAGGTCATCAGGGCTGATGAAACTCACAAGATAAGTGAAGCGGTCGACACGCTCGACTACTACACTCCCTATCATTAGTCCATGTGCCAACGCAACCAAATCTTGAAGCAACATTTTGCATTTCGAGGGTAAGAACCGCATCCCGAACATGCTTGCATTGTTGCGTAGGGTAGTCAGAAGACTCTGCATTTTGTTAGCGTCTACACCAAGTAGGAGTAGAAAAAAGAATGAGTTAACACAGTTATGATTTTATATTATAAATGAAGTTCAAAAAAGGTCAGAAGGATCCTAAACCATAACAATCTAAAGAGTATTTTTCCAAACTAACCAAACTCTCAATCAGTAATAATCAAGGACTCAGTGCCGAAAGAAGAAACAACAAAACTGTGCATATGTGGCCAAATGTAATGACTGTAATGATACTTACTATATGTGGGTGAAATATCGAGACTTCTGGATGTGAATGTGAGAAAACACAAACACATTCCTAAATCCCCAGTAGACCTAAGAAGACTAGAGAATAAGTAAGCGATAGCATTTCATTCAGTAGAATCTGGTCATACTATTCGTTACAACAGTACAAGCATTCTCGAAAAATGT